TGTCCATGGTCTGATGATATGACTGCCCAGTATTCTTATTTCAAAACTGAACAGCGCTGCCCACCACATCTCCCATTCAAACTAAGATCTGCCCAGGATTTGGGCCATTTCTGCTCTTTCCTTCATCCTCCAAAGGGGTGAATAGATTTTGCAACAAGTGCCCATCTCCAATTCTTGCCTCTCCTCTTCTCACACCTCATTGATAGTCAACTATCCATTCTGTATGTGGAGTAGCCTCATTAGTCCCCACGTTCTTCATAAACAGCATTTATTTATTGAGCATCTACTATGTTCCAGGTGCTTTACCCAAATACCTCTAACTCTCATGAGCACGCAGCTAAGTAGTTATTACTCCCATTGTACAGATGAGGAATTTCGTCAAGGATCAAAGAAGTTAAATGACCTACCCAAGATTACACAGCCGTTAAGAGGCAGAAAATGAAACCAAGTCCAGATCTGTCAGGCTCCACAGTCTGCATTCTGCCTGCTATTCCATTCGGCCTCACTATGGCAGCAGTGTGACCCTAGCAGTCTGGCTCTCCTAGATCCTGAAGGTGGAGGGGACAGCATTCTTAACCTGACCCCTAGATCAAAGCCACCCACGACCCTGACTTTACTAGGACAAACTGGTCCCTTCTTGGATTGCTGGGACACGTCACAGCTACATCTGTGGTTCCTTCCAAACCTCAATTGCCTTTCTGTGGAGATTGCACTATGAGAATATCTAAGCTGGTCTGCCCATAACAATTGTCTAGTGCAAGTCCTTATTTCACTGGTAGGAAAACAACTCCAGAACAAAGAAGCAAGTGGTTCAAAGTCACACAGTAAGTTAGAAGCAGAGCAAGAACCAGACCCCATCTCCTAATTCCTGATTTCCTAGTTGCTCACTCTTCTTCCCTACTCCCCATCTCAACCTCCAGGCTGCAGTAGGAAGACTGCAAACTGGTGACCCTGGACCCCAACACATTCCTCCTTTCCTTTCCTTTCCTCTTCCCACCCACCCCACTGTCCCAGGTTCCTGGGAAACTGGACAGAGTCCAGTGCTGGGGCCAAATGGTTTTCTTTCATTCATCCATTGTTTATTCAGCAAACATTTACTAAGGGTCTACCTAGGGTCCAAGCACTAGGCTGGACACTAATTCATCATAAATCCAAAAATCACTAGCATCCATTTCAGTCTGAAAGGTGAACTCAGCTGAGGATAGTGCATCTGTATGTTGGCGGGAGTGTACCTACAAATGTGTGTGCATACACTTTGCCTGTGTGTATCCATCGTGCCTGTGTGTGCCTTTGGGTCTTGAATGTGGGGTATCTGTCCTCTCTCTTCCATGATAAAGGGAGTTCCCTGTAGGACATGTCCAGTGGTTTCTCCCCTACTACTTCTGCAGGTGTTTATCATGCATGAATTTCTGATAAGTGTGTGCCCTATATGTCTGTTAATATTTGTCCATTTTTTCTATCAGAATGAAGCTCCCACTTTTCTATTAACTGGTGAACCTACTGTACTCCTCCCCCCAGATCTCAGCCCAGCCCAGACCTCCAAAGGAATTCTCTTTAGTTCTCCATACAGAGCCCTCCAAGATCTCCCTCTTATCTCCTCTTCCCCAATTCAGAGACAATCAAACCTTCCAAACCCTTTTCAATGATCCCCATTTAAGTGGAGACCTCTTGTCCCCTGAACTGGACAGGGAACAGCCCCTCTTACCAGTCCATGGAGCCCAGAGCTGATAGCGGCAGTGAGGGACAAGTAGGGGTGATGGGAGAGCCAGTCTTTATAAAGGAGGCGACAGTCAGAGCCAGAGGGGGAGGTGAGAGACACGGGCAGGGGTGCTGCCAAGTCCTCACGTCCTCGGAAGCTTTTAGGATAATCCAGGAAACAGTGGCCCCCGGCTCTCCTGGGGGAGTAGTAGGGGGTGAGATCTGAGTCTCTGAGGTGTGCCAGGAAAGGAGGATTTCAGCTGGAAGAGGCAGCTGGGGGGTGGGGGTGGGGTGGGGTGGGGGAGCAGGACTTCCTTCCCTCCCCAGAGGTTGGACAGGCAGTGTGAGAGGGACAAAGTGGTTCTTGCAGGATGGAGGAAATGAGAGCATCACCGGGGGAGTGGGCTGGGGAGACTGGAACTCTCCAAATTCCATTCCTGTCCTTTTGAGGTTTCTTCCATGGACTGGGTAGGGAAGAAAGAAGTA